ATGTTCAAAATCACCTCAAATTTGAATAAATCCAATCCCAAAAACTAGTTAAAAATTTATGCATGGGGAACAAGCAGTTGTGCCAATGTTTAGAGACCACCTTACTGATCGTCCACAGTACTACTTGGTTTGTGGGTTCAAATCCCAAAACACTGTATTTAGTTATAAAAAAAATGGATGCGATGTTTTAGTTATAAAAAAAAATGGATCTGATGGATCCGATGGATTTTAGTTATATAAAAAAAATGGATCTGATGGATCCAATGGATCTGATGGATCCAATGGATTTTAGTTATATAAAAAAAATGGATCTGATGGATCCGATGGATCCAATGGATTTTAGTTATATAAAAAAATGGATCCGATGGATTCAATGGATCCAATGGATTTTAGTTATATAAAAAAAATGGATCTGATGGATCCAATGGTTCCAATGGATCTGATGGATCCAATGGATTTTAGTTATATAAAAAAATGGATCTGATGGATCCAATGGATTTTAGTTATATAAAAAAAATGGATCAGATGGATTCAATGGATCCAATGGATTTAATAGATCCAATGGATTTTAGTTATATAAAAAAATGGATCCAATGGATTTAATGGATCCAATGGATTTTAGTTATATAAAAAAAATGGATCCGATGGATTCAATGGATCCAATGGATTTTAGTTATATAAAAAAATGGATCCAATGGATCCAATGGATTTTAGTTATATAAAAAAATGGATCCGATGGATTCAATGGATCCAATGGAGTTTATATACCTAAAATCCATTGGATCCATTGAATCCATTTTTTTTATATAACTAAAATCCATTGAATCCATTGGATCCATTGAATCCATCGGATCCATTTTTTTTTATATAACTAAAATCCATTGAATCCATCGGATCCATTTTTTTATATATAACTAAGGCTATTATTGCCTTTCCATACGAGTTTGTGTGCGATTCATTTAGGACAGGTAATCTCAACTGTTTTAGGGTAAAATGGCCATGGCGGTCAACATGGCATATGTGCGAAAACCTGAATCTGGGAGGGAAGTCCTGAAAATGACCCCGCCATGAAACGGCAGTGTCGACATAGCTCTAACTTCCGAAAAGGAAAAGCGATAGCCTTTCTGAAGTGCTTATAGTGTTTAGAAGGGTTGCTTTTAGGGGTGGTCATTGGAAGGAAAAATTTGTCGAAGTATAATATTTTACCAGAAAATGACTATGCACCATCCCAGGTAAATTGCTGATTATGCACAAAATAACTAATATGCCTGGCAGAAATTAAATTTTCTTATTTCCTAAAAAAAATTATCATTGGATGGAAAACTATGCTTAGTTCAATATAATTATTGTGGACGTCATAAGGATTGTCATTGTTTTCTTTTAATATAATACATATGATTTCACTTACCCCCCACGAAAACACGATTTCAGCCATATTTTGCCGTCTTGTTTGCTTTTTATCACCGAGTCTTGCAAATATCATCCAGTTGTTGTACTTTTACATAATCATAAAGGGCTAAAAAATATTTCAACCAAATTTCATCAAGTTGAGAGACAGTGCAGTGTATTTTATCTTCGATATTGTGTCCTTCGATATTTCACAAATTGCCGTCATTTTAATGGCTCGCCGCTTCTCTGTCCGATAAATGTATAAAAATACTTCACTGTAGAATAGCCCAATCGAAAAATTGACAACATTTGTCCCATTTGGAAGGAAAAACCCTCCCGTATACCATTTAGGTTCAAAATAATAAACAAATCATTTGAATGTCACGCGCAATCTTCGCGAAAACTTCTCGTGGACACATGACAGGGGAGATGAATATTTTCACGAACGTTATGTTCGCCACCACAGAAACATAACTAAATATATTGTATTTTTTGTATTTTTATGATTTATGACAAAACTACGCAAATATTTATTGTTTTTATTATAAATCATAAAAATACAATAAATACAATATATTTAGTTATGTTTCTGTGGTGGCGAACATATTCGTGAAAATATTCAACCCCCCCTGTCATCTGTCCACGAGAAGTTTTCCCGAAGATTGCGCGTGACTTTCAAATGATTTGTTTTTTATTTTGAACCTAAATGGTATACGGGAGGATTTTTCCTTCCTAATGGGACAAATATTGCCAATTTTTGGATTGGGACTATTCTACAATGAAGTACTATTGGATACTGTAATCTAAATACATATGAAAACGAAGAAGTGGCATTTATCGGACAGAGAAGCGGCGAGCCATTAAAATGGCGGCAATTTGACGAAATATCGAAGGACACAATATCGAAGATAAAATACACTGCACTGTCTCACAACTTGATGAAACTTGGTTGAAATATTCTTTAGCCATTTATGATTATGTAAAAGTACAACAACTGGATGATATTTGCAAGACTCGGCGATAAAAAGCAAACAAGACGGCAAAATATGGCTGAAATCGTGTTTTCGTGGGGGGTAAGTGAAATAAAATGTATTATATTAAAAGAAAACAATGACAATCCTTATGAAATCCACAATAATTATATTGAACTAAGCATAGTTTTTCATCCCATGATAATTTTTTTAGGAAATAAGAAAATTTAATTTCTGCCAGGCATATTAGTTATTTTGTGCATAATCAGCAATTTACCTGGGGTGGTGCATAGTCATTTTCTGGTAAAATATTATACTTAGACAAATTTTTCCTTCCAATGACCACCCCTAAAAGCAACCCTTCTGAACACTATAAGCACTTCAGAAAGGCTATCGCTTTTTCTTTTCGGAAGCTAGAGCTATGTCGACACTGCCGTTTCATTGCGGGGTCATTTTCAGGACTTTCGTCCCGGATTCAGGTTTTCGCACATATGCCATGTTGACCACCATGGTCATTTTACCCTAAAACAGTTGAGATTACCTGTCCTAAATGAATCGCATACAAAAAAATGCGATTCATGAAAAATGACATAAGTGGGCAAAAATGGACGAAAAGTTAAGGCTATAGCCTTACTTTTTTGCTGTTTTTGGCCCACTTATGAAAAATGACATAAGTGGCCAAAAATGGACGAAAAGTTAAGGCTATAGCCTTACTTTTTTGCTGTTTTTGGCCCACTTATGAAAAATGACATAAGTGGCCAAAAATGGACGAAAATTTAAGGCTATAGCATTACTTTTATAAGTTACGTTCGCCAACTTTTTGCACTTATTTGGATAAACATCGGTTATATCTTATTAAATCCATCCAATAGGATTCAGTCATTCAAGTGATATCATGTTTGGTTATAAAATCAATATTCAAGTCTGGAAATTATTTGTAGCATAATTTTTCCGTATCAGATTTGATAGAGTGACATCGATTTCGACCAATAGGAATTTTTGCGTGTTGTGAGCAACGCGTATTTCGTTTTTGATGTGTAGTCAGCAGTCCCTCTTTCTCCCTGAAGGAGCGCTTGCATGCAGTCTAGCCTGTTCATGGATATAGACCTAATTCAAAAAAGGTTGTCCTTTGCATTAATAGACAATTCCCATTATAGACTAATTTTAAAATTAGGTAAGGAAACTCAAATAAATCACCACAGCTAGAAAGAGCATACTAAAATTAGTAAAATTACAAAGTTTGGTTGCGAAATGTTGTAAAATGAGGAAAGCATATAGATGATGATAAACTTTATTTAACCACGCTAACATTAGGACCATTTATACGGGACAAAATAAGACGCGACTTACATAAGACGCGACTTAAATAAGACGCGACTTAAATAAGACGCGAGTTTGTCGTATAAAAGGTACAAAATTCTTATGTAAGACGCGTCTTGGATAAGACGCGTCTTACATAAGAACAGGACTTTTAGCTGTTCTTATATTTAAGTCGCGTCTTAAATAAGAAATTTTAGACAAAAATCCTAACTACACATGCCCGAAACATGAAACAACGTAAAATTATTAGCCTTGCATATTAAAACAAAAACAACCGAAACAACATTATAGCTATAGGAAGTAAATAAGAATAAAGCCGTAGAGAACCATTTATGCGATAACTCCGCTTATTTAAGTCGCGTCTTATGTAAGTCGCGTCTTATTTTGTCTCGTATAAATGGCCCTATTGTCAGCTAAAGCTGGTTTCCACAATGGGCGTGTGAACAAAAGTAAATTTACAAGAAAAAAAGATAAAGGTAGTAAGAAATTACATGCATATATGTGAAAAAGAAAATATACTATATAATATACGTTAATTTACTACTTACATTCATGCTTTAATAACAATGGGTAGCGATTTTCCTTTCGAAAATTGATAGCGTTTTGCTTTCTCTAATAATTTCTGGCAAAGAGTTCCATATGACAGCTCCGTCATACATGAAACTATTTTTTAAACTGTTCGAACGTGGCTTTGGCAACCGTAATGTGGCCCCATATTATGAAGTATCTTAAACATCGTTTTCGCTTTAGTTTTTAATCGTTGTTCTTTTAATGTTTTCCATCCTAATAAATCCAATACAGTTTGCTGATCAACATCGTTCGGTACACTTGCTATGATGCGATAGCCTTGCAAAGTTCGCAAATTTTGTATACTTTTGTATTGCGTGCGGAAATTCCTACCACATTCCTACCACATTTAGGCCGAAAATGTCGCACGCAATACAAAAGTATACTGTACAAAATTTGCAAACTTTGCAAAGCTATATATTTTCCGCATTTTACAACATTTCGCAACCAAACTTTGTAATTTTACTGATTTTAGTATGCTCTTTCTAGCTGTGGTGATTTATTTGCATCTCCTTGCCTAGTTTTAAAATTAGTCTATAATGGGAATTGTCTATTGCAAACCTTAAACTCTATAAGCATGCAAAGCTATAATGGGAGGATAATTTAATCCGTTTAGGGGGCCCATTTCTTAGAGACATGCATGGTAAATATCTCCTTACGAGAACAATTTATTCACAAATAGTTGCAATATTCAACTACTAAGTTTGAAACTTGTGCTCCCATGAAGCTTTGCACGCTTAGAGTTTAAGGTTTAAAGTTTGCGAAGGACAATCTTTTTTGAATTGGCATATGACTCGAAAATTGACGGTGTTATATTTTTATCTAATTTGTAAGATCATTGAAAACTGTAGAGTAACTTCTTTGATAGATTTTTGTTTTCTTGCTTCGTTTTGGAGATATTTCATTTTGCAAGATATGCAAAGGACCAACTTTCTGCGTCACAGATGCATAATGACTTACTTTAAAATGTTATATAATTTTTGTCACTATCAAATAAATTCGCTCAAAATGAATGAGCACGAGATTTGTCCACAACAACAACACCCATGTAGGTTTTCTATACTGATTGTGTTTATTCGTATTAAAGATATACAGCTTTTAGGGCTAAATCATTATGCATATGTGACATAGGAAGTTGGCTTTGCATATCATACAAAATGAAATCTCTTCAAAACGAAGCAAGAAAACAAAAATCTATCAAAGAAGTTACTCCGGCAACAGTTTTCAATGATCTTACACATTAGAGAAAAAAATAACACCGTCAATTTTCGAGTCATATATGCCGTTTACTTAACTGTATAAGATATGTACATTCTCACCTTACACATTTAGACATGGTGCAGTGGTCACAGAATACTTAGTTGTTCTTTATATTCAGTAAATAGTCGCTGTAATCGCATGTTGGTACCTATGGAAGAATAATTCAATTAATATCATAAGCAAATTTACCACATATGTAAATACCAAAATGCAACATATCATTCAATACAGTAGTAGATCCCTGGCAGTGAGCTATATATAATATTGTTGAGAAGTTGAGTTCAAAAAGTGAAGACAACTTCGTGTTAACCGCGCAGTCAAAAACAATAGAAAATCAAAAACAAAGGCCACAAATCAGCCAATCACATGCTTATCAAAACTCACGTGACCGCAAATCAACCAATCACATTTAGTTTAAACACTCGCTATATGACAAATTATTCTATACAATTAAATTGGCCAAACTTACCAATAATTGGCAGAATCTCTCTTAATAACTCTCTCTTTTGAAAACCCTTGATATGAAAAAACCCAAGATATTGCAATAATTAGAAAAAAAATAGTGGTGGTGAATCCGGTGATGATGATGATGGTGAATGACATAATCAGTAAAAATATGTGTGGAAACATACCAAGATATAAGGTTCCCATGTTGTAGACCTGTAATAAAAACAGAAGTTGAGAAATACACGCACAGGCCCGTTGTTTTACTGTAAATATTTCATCAAATATGTTGCCATGTTAGTAAAAACATTTGCGCCAACATTTTTTCTTTTGATAAAACATTGTGCAAAGAGGAAAGCGCAAAGAAAAAAATTACAGAACAAGCAGACAACCAAAAAAGGTTCGTGCAAGCAAATCCCCCCCTCCCCTTTCTAAAGGTCCACCCCTTACCTGAAACTTGGCCCCAGTAGCTCACTACATATATCGCGGAGTCTTGCTTCAATTCCTGAGATAAGAAAATGGACCACGTTACTGATGTGTTTGAACACAACAATGAAATGGATTTATAATCGTAACCCACCTTCTTGTACTAAATATCGTACATAAGTCATAAACCAGAAATGATATTCTTTTTCAGACCCGAGCATAAAAGTTGAGGATATCTGATTCTGAAAAAAAAAGAGTACAAAGCTAAATACTCTCGTATAGATTTAAAGTTTGTTCGTTCACTGCAACCAGGTATATCAATCATGTTTCGCTCGCTACTCTGGTTTAAATAAAAGATTACAAAGCCCAGTCGAATTGTAATCAAGACCCAACGTTTCGACACTCCAGTTTAGTGCCTTCATCAGGGGTGATCTAAAGATGCAATCGTGGCTTCTTAAATACCCAAGGGATGACGTCACCTGCCAATGAGATGCATGTATTCCTCTGGCAAATAGGCATGCACCGTCATCCCTATTCAAAGCATGATTACTCAATACTCATATTTATATGCCACGCAGGGTCTTAGCTAGGATCTTAGATCTTGGGCGTGTTTCTAAATGACCAGGGTGTGCATATTTGTAGTTACGCTCGCCAACAACAGACAATGCCTGCATGTCGTTGTTGTATGCTTTGCAATCTAATACAAGGCTAGTTCACATTGCGTACTGACATTAAAATATTAAGTTATTTCAGCGACTCCTGGGGGTATTTAAAACCATTTTAATACCATATGGTCTCATTATCCATCAAAACATTAAAACATCACGGATCACTTTTTCCAATTTCAACAACTATGTACAGTAGATTTTAGAAACTTTCTTACGACGTAAATTGGAAGAAATTCTGTCTGTTGTAAGTACTGTAGCAACACCTTATTTTATGAACCTACACGGCCTTATCTAAATAATGAAGCCGCGTTCATTTTATCTAGCCGTGTTTTTCCATTTTTGGCCGCGATAACACGGCCAGCACGGCTCTCTAGCTACGACCCTGATGTCACGCTTCTAGGCAAAGTCTCTTTGACCATAGCGATTGTTTGTGGTAATTACTTTAGAGTTTTCCCACGCAATCTCGTGTTTGGCCTATATTCTAAAAGCTAACTCAGACTCAGACTCACTGAGTGTGCCAAAGCAACCACGTTCCTGCTGATCTGTCCTTGTCTGTTTTAGTACAGAATGTATTGTACACATTTTTTTACATATTTTCCAATATGCATGGTAATTTTGGTTTTATTTTATAACAGACAAACAGCCATAATTTTTTTTACCCAACCCATGAGCTAGTCAAAAACTTGATTACCCAACCCATATCTCTTTGGTACCAACCCCGGGTATAAATAATGAACGGTCTCTTACAAGTCGAGATTGTCTTGTGCTGAGCTGGACATTTTTCGCAATGTGTGGCACCATACGTTCACGGAAATTTGACTTATACACCTCCAGAAATTTTTATTTTCGGTTTTTGCTTCCAGGAAGAGAAATACATTTTCTAGGCCAGACAAAAAGTAAGATGTGCATACCTCTAAGTGACTAATAGTAGCTGTCTGAGGTCGTGTAGAATTTGATCGAAACAGGCGACCAACAGGACGACTAAATCTGAAAAAAGAACAACAGATGTGTATATAGTTATACTGGCGAGGTTACATTTTCCAGAATTTCAGCAGGGTTTTTTCCGGATTTTCTCTTGGGTCCGTTTTTGCAGAGAAGATTGAGTTTAGCTGAACAGCTGGGGTGGCTGCACCCCCCCCCCCACCTAACGGGGGCTGACACCTGTACTCAATAAATGTAGTTGAGACGGAATGTGTTAAAGCAGGGGCACTAAGGGACACTATAAACTGGTTAAAGATGGCGAATGCATAGTTTTTCTTGTGTTGTGAGATGAATTCCAGCCATTTTTTCTTAATTGTCGGGTTTCCAACTGAAAACTAATTCCACACGTCACGAATTTAACTCAAACAACTTCATTTTTACTGCACTGAAACTTTGGTGAGAAGATTGAGTTTCAAAACTCAATTCAAGATTGAGTTTTTGGGGCCGTTTAACGGCCGTAAAAAATCCCTGAAAAAAAACCCTGTTCCGGTAAATGGGCGGGAATTGCATATGTTGAGATTTGATTATTCACATTCTGATCCAGGTAACGACTTTGCTTTTGTATTTTTGGGCACGAAATTGAACGCTCAAACTAGTGTCCCAGCGTCTGAATACCACACAACAGTTCACTGTTATACTATACCTCGAGGTTTGTCCCTGTAACGTGGCCAGTATACCATGAGACTTGCCAACTTCATGCGTGTTGTAACATGACTTGAAATCTGAGTTGAGCTGCAACGGGTCCTCTGGGCTTGATAACTGCACCCT